TCTCTCTCTCTCTCTCTCTCTCTCTCTCTCTCTCTCTCTCTCTCTCTGTGTGTGTGTGTGTGTGTGTGTCTGTCTCTCTCTCTCTCTCTCTCTCACACACACACACACACACATACACCTTTTTTCTAGGGCCTCACATTTAGTGCTGGCATTGCAGAGATGTTCCATCGCAACTAACTCAGTGGTTTTAATAGTATTGGTTTAGTTTTGATTGACCAGAAGGCAAACAAGTGAATGTCCTGAAGTTCTTGTCTGCATGTGGACCTGGGCTGGTAGTCTGTCCAGTACAGTGTCTAACTTAGACACTGCTGTCCAGGAATTTTGTTAGGTCAGTCTCCAGTGATGTCATCCTTACAGGAGTGAACACATTTTACTCTGCTTCCGTTGGACAGTGATGCTATGGCCCATACATTTGCTCAAAGTCTTCATGAGTTTTATTTTGACCTGTTATACAGGTACTGGAATTTTGCTCTGGCTTCCAAATTCAGATTTAATTATTATTTTATATGCGTGGTGTTTTGCCTGCATGTATGTCTGTGCACCAAGTTCCTGGTTCCCTTGGAAGCTAGAAGAAGAGTGTTTTGGATCCCCTGGAACTGGAGTTACAGACCTGTGAGCTACCATGTGGTTGTTGAGGATTGAACCTGAGTCCTCCAAAAGTGGACAAAACACAACAGTGCTACAGCCAGTGCTCTTCATCTCTGAAGCGACTCTCCAGCCCCTCTCTTACATATCTTACACCTTATTTCTCTCCCTCCTCTATATATGTAAGTTCGACATAAAAAATCTCATTTATATGAGATAAATGTATATCTTCTCTCTCTGCACACACATAACACACCCACACATATGATCTTTATATTTTTGCTGGATTGTCATTTGACAATCCATAGTGATTTGAAGATTCTAGAAGCAAGAGGGGTGGTCTAGAGTAAAGCTTCCTTTGAAGCTTTGTTATGTGCAGTAGCTTCAGCCTTCAGTGTCTGAGAAACTTTGTACACAGTCTTAACATTTTGAAGTCTTTAATGGTGGTAATGTCTATCTTTATGACATTGGTTATGATGTACCTGGTTCATGAACTTGAGACTTGTGAATTGGTGTGTCTTCCTGGTACTGAACTACTCTTATTGATTCATCAATTTTTCTGAACATACTTTTTCTTCATATACCTTCCATCTCAGAAATTGAGGACCTTAGTTTAAGATATTTCAGTTACTCAAGAAACATGAGAGGGGCATGTGTGTGGTTTGGGGTGTGCACACACATATGACTACGTGGAGGGAGAGGCATCTTCAGTCATCCTACGCTGCATTTTAAAATTATTTTAAAATTTTTGTGAAGCCGGGCGGTGGTGGCGCACGCCTTTAATCCCAGCACTTGGGAGGCAGAGACAGGCGAATTTCTGAGTTCGAGGCCAGCCTGGTCTACAGAGTGAGTTCCAGGACAGCCAGGTTTACACAGAGAAACCCTGTCTCGAAAAACCAAAAAAAAAAAAAAAAAAAAAAAAAAAAAAAAAAAAAAAAATTTGTGTCTATTTTTAATGAGTGGTTGTCAATGTGTATGAATGTCCACAGAGGTCAGGAGAGGGCGTTGACTATTCTCAAGCCAGAGTTGCAGGTGGGTGTGAGCAGTGTGATTTGGGAGCTGGGAACTAAACTTGAGTCTTCTGGAAGAGCGACAAGCTTTCTTAGCCTCTGAGCCATCTCTTCAGCCCCCACATGATGTTTTGAAACAAGGTCTCTTGTAGCTCAGGGTAGCTTTCAAACTCCCTATGTACCTAAGGCTAGACTTGAACTCTAGACTGCCATGCATTACCACACGCTGTCCTGAAGATTGACTTGCTCGTCAGGTTACCTGATCTGCATTTGATTTGCAGCTGCTAACGAATGAGTCTGGTTCTTCTGTCTTAGGAACATTTTTTCTTACAAGGCCATGTACAAAGGTTTTTTTTTTTTTTTTAATCCTTTTTTAGATATACACCCCATCCTTTGCTGGGGATGAAATTCAGGATTGTGCATGCTAGGCAGTTTTCTACCGCTCTGCTGTAGCTGGTGGAGATCTGTTTCCTTCTGGACAGGGCTTTGCTATGTAGTTCATGCAGGACTGGAACTTGAAGAAACCCTTCTCTTCCCAAGACTTCCAAGCTGTGATCACACACCCAATTTTCTTACCTTTACATTTTTTATGTGTATATAAAAGAGTATATATGTGTGCGTGCACGCACACAGTTGTCTACAGAAGAGAGTTGCAGGCATTGGGAGCCCTCTGATGTGGATGTGGGTGGAACTCTGCAAGAGCACGTGCTCTTAAACACCGAGCCGGCTCACCAGCTTCCCTATGTATGGGATTTTGTTTTGGTTTTGTTTTTGAGATGGGTTTCTCTGTGTAGTCCTGGCCATCTTGGGAACTCACTCTGTAGACTAGGCTGGCCTCTAGAGATCCACCTGCCTTGGCCTCCTGAGTGCTGGGATTAAAGGCAGGTGCCATCACTGGCCCTGCTCTGTATGTTTTCTTAATGTGAGGAAATTGTCAGTGCTTTTAGGATATTGATTTTTGTGTTTTAAGGTTTGGTTTGTAGGTTTCAGAAAGTCAGAATAAAGCTGGTCAAAGCAGGGGGCCATAGGGTACAAAGTTCTCTCAACAGGAAAGTGAAGGCTTCAGTGGGCCTGGGAGTCACTAGCAGGTTTCTTTCTTGGTCCTTTCTGCAGGACAGGGCAGGAAGTGGAGATAGGTTAAAAACCGTAATGTCATGTGCTTCGGGAAGAGCTGGTGCGTACGAGTGGACAGGACGCTCTCCCAGTCAGCCCAGGCCCATTTCCTAGAGTTTAAAGATTAAAAGGAGGTTGAACTAAACACTTAAATATACAAATTTAGAAAATTCCAAAGCAGATATTCTTCCAGAAATTCTGTAGTGCGTCAGTCATGGCTGTGACTAAATATGTCTTCCGTTCTCCATGTGGACATATTCTTGACGTTCCTTCCTGTAGTTAGATGTTGACTTTGGCCTTTAGAGTTGATTTATGCCATGTGTTTGCAAGGAATGAGTAAGTACACTAAATGAAGGGTAATAACCTTTCTATTTATGCTGATCCATTTTTAAGTTAAGAATTGAGTGAAAGTACATAGAGACGGGCCCTCACGCAGCCCATGCTGGGCACACACTTGCTGTGACCTTGAACTTCTGATTCTACCTTCCCACCCTGTGTAGCTTTCTTTGGTGTTGGGGATCAAACCCAGGACTTGGTGCATGCTGGGCCACCTGAGCTGCCCCACCAACCCTATAGCCATGTTTTTATAGAACAGAAATTGTAGTCAATAATGGTTAGTAAGAAGTACACTTCCCAGCCATGTGTGGCGGCTCACAACTGTAACCCAGATTCAGGAGGCAAAAGTGAATGGGTCACAGGCTTCTGATGGACACAAATTCAGAATCAGCCTGTTGTACAGAGTGAGTTCAAGGCCATTGGGACTGTGTGGTGACATCAGTGAAAGTAATGCTGTCAAGGCTGGTAACTTGAGGTACGCATGGTGGAATCATCCTGACCTTCGCAGATCAGCAGAAGACAGCAGGAAGCCGGGCTCATACAGAGACTGTTGGAACTGAGCCTTCAGCGTGTCCCTCAAATCAGTGAGGGTCTGTGGTGAAATTTAGAGTTTCATCTACTTATGTGCTACCTGTTCCCTTAAAGCAGTGGCCCTTCAGTTCCTTCCTCATGTTGCAGTGACCCCAACTATAACAGTCTTTTCATTGCCTCTTCATAACTGTCATTTTGCTACTGTTAGAAACTATAATGTAATATCTGCTTTCCGGTGGTCTTAGGTGACCTCTGAGAAAGGGTCATACCGTGTGCTCCCACAAGGGGTCACGACCCACAGGCTGAGACTTGTGCCTTTACTTTTCCTTCATCTCATGATGAAGAAGCACGCTATGACCTGGGTGGTGTACATACGTGCATTCTTACAAATAACAGCAGCAAAATTCTCAATACCAGATTTTGCCAGTACCTTCCCAGTTGGGCCTTTCAAAGAGACCTTGAGCTGGAGTCCTGAGGAGCATGGTAGTGGTGTGAGGAAGAGGAGGTGTGGAGGATTGAATACAGGCTTTGTGTGTACTGGACAAGCCTTCTCCCCCTGAGCTGCAGCCCCAGTGAGATTTGCTCTTTTAATTATGACATATATTAATTGTGCCACGAGTTTCACTGACGCATCCATGTACGTATGGGATGCACTTGGATACCTTCACCCTGTTATTTTCTCTTTATCCTCCACCTCCTTCTGCTACCCTATATTTTTGTTGGTTTGAAGTGACTTTCAGTAAGTAGCTCTAGCTAGAGTAGAACTCACTGTGTAGCCCAGACTGACCTGGGATTCCTCGAGATCATCTTGTCTTGTTCCAGAAGCTGAGATTACAGGCTTGAGCCAGCACTTGCTACTAGTTCTTGAGTTTCCTGCAGAGTACGTATCTCAGCACCTATTACCTACCTACCTTCCTTCCTTCCTTCCTTCCTTCCTTCCTTCCTTCCTTCCTTCCT